AGGTTACCCACGGTAACCGAAACGTCGGCGAATATAATTCTCTACCGACATCGCTGTGTTATTAACTCTATAACTTTCACAATACAGTAATATATGTTTCTTTAGTCCAACGACGAGAATGTGCTAGCGCAATGCTAAACGGTATTCGCGGCAGGACATCCAAAATAATCGTAGTAATGATGATCATTAATAAGCACAGTATTACAACCTCACTCAGTACGTGATATTTTTGTATCATGGGGTAAGATCACTTTGAGTTCCATATCAGTGATTTCTGTTACTTANTATGTCTCTGAGTTTTTGCATCTTGTCAACATCTGACCCATAGACCGCTCAATTGTCACCTTTTTTAAACCGACTTTCGTATGGGGCTACTAATGAGTAGTCAACGTTTACATGCAGTAATCGTATTCATGTCCAAGCAGCCGTACTTCGCATTTCAGAATCCATATACGCACTCCGTCCGTGCTTCAATACCACCAAATAGCCACGTTGTTCAATTAGCTTCACCGGTTTCAGGTAGGTCTGAGGGAGTTTTCCATTATTTGTGGCAAATATTTTCAGTTATTCCCTCTCCTTTGCTTCTGTTTTGCTTTTAGCCTTTGGAATACATGTTATAAAAATTTCCGTTCCAGAACCCTGTTTATCTTTTTTAATCTTTCAACTTCTTCCCTCTCAATTTGCGAAACCGATGGCCATTGTGATCTCTCAGCGTTAATATTAGGATCCATTGCATTTTCAAGCCATAACTTTGCCAATACATGTGTATTTTGATTGGCTACCGTCATACGATGTGATCATTTTTTAATTTTCATTTGCAAAATCTTATTTGAAACCACATTAATCGATTGCGCACATCATCAGTGCATTTGATTTTCTGCGATGGTTATTTCAAATATCTCCAAGTCCTTTAATCGTTTACAGTTGAAAAGTGACTAAGATTGGAAGCATTTTTTTATTCACCGACAGAATACCCTAAAGAATTCGCATTATTGTACACGTACCATGAATTCTCTTATGTTGTCAATTTCTTCCATTTTTAGAGTGTTCAATCTCCCAATCCACCTGTGTTGCTTCATCATCGGATTTGTCATCATTCAGAATCGATGCGTCCGGTCTGCTTCGAGAGATCGATCAAGCCGAAGCAGAAGAAGCTAAAATTCGTCAAAGATGGGCTCATCTATCCCACAAACAAGTCGATCTTGCAATTGCTTCTCACACAGTTTCCAAACCCTTAAATCCAGCTGGGCATAAACAGTTGTCTATGTACGTCGTTATTCAGTTCTTACATTACATGCTTGCTGAAGATGGTGCACCTACTACAGCTGTAGTACAGCTGTTTTGACCCGATTGGGTCTCATCAGCAGTTTCAGCTTGTACAACCATTAACCACGCATATTCGTGCGCCGGTTTCGCTTGCTGTCTTTTGGCTGCCCATTTGGATGAAGAATAGGAGAAGAACAGGAAAGTTGAAAGTGGAGAAGTTCAGTGGTCTGAGGTTGCAAAGAAATTGAGGAGATTCACGAACGCCACTGTTTACGATACCCAGCCATATCGCTCAGTGTCTCTAACCATCGGTTACGATCATCCCGAGGTCCCCAGCCAGGGAGCCTAACAGGACTTATGTGACCCAGTCTCCTGGTAAGGGTTTTCATACCCTCGTGCCAGGTCTTAGCTTGACCACCCTTCGCTATTTTCCACTCGTTGTCTGCTTCGGTGAACATCGCTCGCCGTGGTGACCTATCTGGTGACATGCGTAATACATGCCCCAACCAACGTAATCTATGGAGGTCGACTACTTGCTCCAGTGGGCGATCGTATTTACCCAAAACTCTGCCCCTAACCTCAGCATTGCTCATCCGGTTACCCCACCAGATTCGTGCAATGCTGCGTAGACAGCGGTGTTCGAACACCGACAGTCTGCCTTTATCCTGTTTTCTTAATGGCCAAGTTTCTGCACCGGATAGCAGGACTGGCCGAACTGTCGCGGCATCCACTCGACCATTCACAGACAGCCGGATGTCGCGACGGCGCCACAGATGCCTCAAGCTGGCAAATGCCAACCGAGCCTTGTGTATTCAAGCTAACACTTCATTCGTGATGCGTCCACCGGGTGAGATGTAGCTGCCCAAATAACAAAACTTATCCACCTGCTCCATTACTTCCCCAGTTAGAGTGAGGCTGGGTGCTGAACCAACTCAGTCTTGTAGTAGCATTTTACACTTTGAAGGTGCAAAACGCATATCGAACATAGCTACACTTGCAGAAAAGCTTGCAACTTACCTGGATCTTCACTTAGTAGCACAATGTCGTCTGTGTACTCCAGATCAGGCATCCTTCCACCTGAGAGTAAATCGATGCCATCAGCAGTGCGAATCCATCGAACCCGGGACCTCAGACAAAACGCGAGCATACCATCCACTTGGCCACAGGGGTAGCTGATCAGACTGTTTCTCATTTTGAATATACGCAATATAGCACAATCCTTCTTTGCGAGCTTGTTGCGAGTATCGGCCTTCGCTCATCTCAGCACTAGCCTCCAGGGTTATGACTAGGTTGGAAACTTTCACAACCTGACTACTTGTTATATGAGAGGAATGAATAATTTCATTTGATTAACTGATGAATTCGTCGAGTAAATAAGGAGTGGGCTGAAAAGCTATAGTTGCACTATATAGTATGTATTCATAATGAGAAACGTTCTGATCAGCCACCCGGTGGTTGTGTGGGTAGTATGCTCGCGTTCTACCTATGGGGTCCCAGGTCTGATTCATTTGCACTGCCAATGAGACTCAACCAGGTCGAAACAACTTTCCAGTGCTTCCTAGCTTTTCAGCAAACGCCTCATTCACATGACGAATTCANCTAAAAGAGATCTTTATTGGTTTGTCCTTACCTTTGTGATACGATCCTTTTACCCCTCCCCCTTTCATTTTTTGTGTTTTAATGTATTTTACTTTTCTGTGTTCACATACCAAACCTCGTGTTTTCATCCGTATGCACCATGTTGAGATGCAGCGAAATCGTCCTGGACATAAATCGTGGAGTATTACGATATGGTACCTTCTTTTGAAATCTCTGTTTTGACTTTGAAAGGACCTATCGGTTTAGAATTTTCAAACTTTTTGTTGATACTCCATCGGTGACGGATTTTCCCTCTTTCGTGACCTGTTTTTTTCATTAGTCTTATCCGAGTGTGCATCGTTATCAGCAAATGGTGCAGCGTTGCTAAAGTGCATTGAACATTGGGGTTTGTTTTTTACATGGGACAAATAGCTGCAATTATGCGCTCAAGGTTTTGATATCAACGCTTGTAGCTTCAGGTTAAGGGTTTTATCTTTCAACCCAAAGGTTAATGGTTCGAGTCCCGGTGCCGACTAACCGCTAGAGTAGTACTGTTGATGTGTCTCAACGAGATAAAATGGCTATTCAATGCCCGTAATCGGTTTTCACACACTCCCGTCAATAAAGATGAAGTAATCACCTACACTGACTGAATTCTTTGCCGTCATTATAAAAGGGAAACTGCAATCTCACGAAGATTCATTTACAGTCATAGATGCTGTGTCATAGTTCGGTGATTTGTTGTCAATGCTACTCGAAATTCTTTTCATCAGGACAACTTATGTTCGTATTACAACAGAACTTGACAATGATTTTATTCACTATGAAAGTTGTATACGCGTTTCAATGAATTGAATAACTGATAGATTGATTCGAAGTTCCGCCACTTTCAGTTGTTGTTCATTATAGTGTACTTCAGCATCTTCCCTCCCCGAATTCCCTCACCAGACAGATTGACAGACAATTTGTAAGTTTTATTGTGGCCGGTTTTGACTTTCTGTTGTTTTGGTGTTGGTGCTGCTGCTGTTACTGATGATGATGATGATCACCCGCTGTGCTCACCGCATTCTGTTTGCACTGAATTCATTGGCTGTGGTGTTTTATCGTTATTCAAATTCCGGTCTGTTGCACGAATTTGTACAATTCTACTTGTATTTATGTATATTTCAGTGCAAAACAAGCAAATATCAACCGAAAACCTACTACTCAAAGAACGGAATTAAGTGGACTCGAATGTTGCTCTGATCCGTCAATTGAGGCAAGTTGGGTTATTATCGTTTGTCATTTTTCTCCCTTCACACACACACGAGGTTTATTCATTGGCATATGCCAAGTGTTACAACCGGAGCGTTGATGTTTAGGTCATAACGTCGATGATAGAAATCTCTTCGAATTCTATCGATCGAAATGTAGTAGTAAACAGCTTATTCGATTAGGTTGTTCAGATCGTATGGCTGTCAAATGAGTCAAGGAATTCTGTTGTCCGAATGAATTTGAGAAATTTGTTGAATAAATAAATGTGATTTTCGAATCCACTTTCGATGTTTATGATCTCCTAAGTTGACTGCGATTCGATAAAACAAACTAGTCTTGCATCACAAATAGATTGTGTTGATCATAGGTTCAATTTGCATCTCGAACAACCATTTAAGCTGTACTCTCATGAACTTATTTTGATGGCTGTCTTTTACCTATCGATATGATGCACCAAAGAAGTAAAATGCTCAGGTTAGTACCAAGATCAGTGCGAATAAACTGGATGTGCGTCGAAAGTGAACAAATACATGTGCATCTCTGCTTACGACACTCGGCTTCATCATACTTGGTCTAGCCATTGATCAGGTTGGCCACGACTTCCCTAACTTGGAAGGTTGACACAAACCATATGCCCATCTCTGGTTTGGGTTTTCATTGCTTTTTATCTTCCCTGGTCTTCTGCCTATCATGAACCTCTATCCTGGAGAGAGACTTGTGTTTGAAAATATGAAGTATCATGTTGTGAAACACTGAGGATACTAACTAACAATCCGATTAATGTTATTTCATGATCGACTTACTGGATTCACCACGAAAACCAAGTTCCCTAGCCCTCAAATCTTAAGAGAATATTGTATTCTGTGTTCTGATTTGACACACAGTACAGGTTAGCAAACCATCGTCTGATTTTCTTTTCTACTGTAAATAATCCAGTGCTACTGAAGTGTAGATCAACTAAATAAATATGCACATGTTTGACTATGTGAAGAGGTAATCTAGTGGTACACGTTTACGAGATGTTTTTCCTCCTTTTCATAGCTAAATAATCCACATGTCATACCTTTGGAACACGTTGCATCTGTGGGGTCAGAACTCGCTGGTGGTGTGCATCGAACTGGTGCTCCGGGCGCAGATCGCATCCCCTTGCGTTTGCCAACCGATCTTCATTGTGCTCTTCTTAGGGATGCGCACAAAGTGCAACAGCTAAAGGCTGATTATTGGAAGAAACGTGGTCTGCTCACCTCTGGCGGAGCGGCAAACCTCCATTTAGTTCGAGTGTGTGAGTCGATTGCAGATGAACTGCTCGATCGAGCGATCAGTGATGTGGCAGAAGATTTGGAGCGTGAGGTTTCTTGTTTCGTTGATGCTGTTGTCGACGGTGAACTCTATTCGGATGCTCCAGATTCGTTTTCTCTCACCAACCAAACCACAGATTGCCAGTCGTCTGTCACCAACTTCAATTCAAGGCCAGAAAGTAGCACCCGGGCATCGGGTTCCTTGGGTTCCATAGACCGCTTATCTACCTTATCGTCTTCTCACAGAACGTTGGAAAATGCTTTCTCACTCAGCAGTCATTTACATGATGAGTCAAAACAAAATCGGTTTGCTGGTACCAGTCCGAGTGCAACGGAATCTCATTCCACCTGTGCCAAAGAACCATCGTATACATTTCAATTTGATCAAGTGACTGGAAGTGCGGAAAACTTATCCCGGTCTTCACCCACACTTCTGGCCAATCTTATAATCCGATCGAATGAAGTTGATGACTCTGACGCGTCGAATGATGTTGAGTGCAGTGATCCTTAACCTAACTGTTCCCATTTCTTCCAACTTCCCATCTAACTGCTCACTGCATTGTGAACTCTGTTTTGAGTGATTCGCCTGGTACACTGTTTGTTTTCACTTCATACACACAATTCTTCACACATTCAAAAAGTGTTTTTTTTTCACTCAACCAATAACAATCTAGTTCCCTGTGATGAAATAGAAATTTCACTAACTTGATGCTGCTTTTTATCGAGGTCGATGAGTCAATTACAAACCGGAGTGAAATTGTGTTCATTCACCTGATGGAGTATACCCATCAACTGTTTTTTTACTTTAAAGTTGACTGGTGTGTTGCTATCTCTTGCTACTACTCCTATCAAAGTGATTGATCACTAAGCCTGCAATTAACTGATGCCTTTTTCGCTTCATGTGAAGCCATTCGAGATTTGGTCTGTTTAGTCAGGACCTGACTTGCCCTGATTATTTCACTCGGGGGTAATCCTTGACTTCGTTTGCTCGTGTTTAACTGATCTGTTGGGATTCAAGATGAAGTGAAGGAACGCGCATCTGTTCGACCGGGGCTGTCAGTTAGTTAGGTAACAATCCTGTTCACTGGGTTTTAGACTGATTGAATAAGCGTAACAAATTTAATCGACAACTGTGTGAACATTGATCATTCTGTCGGTAACTTGGAATAGTTGGTGGTCATCCAGTCGAAGTAGCCATTCACTAATTCAACCCGATTTTTCGTGGACGTTGAGGGTTTGCATTCTGAGTGCCGCCTTTCCTTGGGCTGTAAGCCTAGTCAAGAATAACCTCATTCACATGCTAATACTATGTCCGACAGTGTGTTCGGTGAAATACCCTATCATCGTAGAAGCAGTTGAGCAATTTTCATTTAATATCATAATGATGAAATAACGTGTGAAACGAAACAATAACTATCCCTTAAAAAGTTTTGCCTTGGCAATCATTGTAGAGTCTATCTTACCGAGCCGTTTGTCTCAACAAGGGATAACAGAAGAGCAGGAAAAAATATTGTTCGACAATAAACCCAGTGGTTCTAACCTAGAGGGTCCTCTAACACACCGCATCATTCTTATCTAGTGGAGTAAAATGCGACGCTGTTTTATCCTCATATAGACAAAGATGATATGAAAACCATAAAGCAAATGAGACACGAAAACACAACGCTGGAAATGAGCACTGGGGAACTTATTAAAACCTCAATGTTGACACGTAAAAGTAATTTTCTCATATCACTGGAAATGATCGATGATGTGTGTGCATGAACCTGGTAGGTTCGTGGAATAATGCTAATCCAATGTACTTTGAGAATGAACAGAAGGAATTGTGGGTAGGTGAAAGAGTACGGACACTTGGAAAATGTGTCGAAAGACGAACGGAGAATGGATAAGCATTTTAAGACGGACGATAACGAACACTGTAGGAAGTTGCATTTTCTCATATTTAAAGGAACCGGATGTTAGTTACATCGTCGTTAACTTGGCCTTCAGATATATCTGGAATTTAATATTTTCATATTTTTTGTTCCCAAGGAGGAATTCATGGTTAGAATGAATTGCTTAGTACATTCAAGTTTGAATTTATACAACCAGTAACCTTATATTTTTGTGCATCGATATTCTGATGTCTTTAGGCTTTCTATTTGGATTAAAGTAAGGACTCTAAAATTAGGAACTAAGAAGTATCAGGGTATTTGTGTTTTCATAGACTTTTGCGTAGACAGATGCCTGCATTTCAGTCAAAAATCACACATTCTCATCGAAAGAAGGAAATACAAAGGTTGCTATTAAATTCAGGAGAAGCGTGCTGTCGGTTCGCGAGGATCCTAGCAAGATAGGGAACTACAGAATTTTTGTAAAAGTTTTGCGAGAGGGTAATAAAAGATATGTAGAGCGCCTAAATGAACGAGAAAGGTATTTGGATAGATCACCGTGGAAAGGATAAGTGGGTCCAGAGAGGATTTTCTCTGCAAATGTTCCTCACGCGAAGAAGAATTCTGAATTCTTGTTCAAGTAGTCCAACGAAGATCAAATTAAATAAGAATAGGAAGAATACATTGATAAGCAAAACGCGAAAGGGTTTCTTGTTTGGCGTGGAACTACCTAGCTCTTCGAAGTTGAAAAGATTTTATTTTGTTCATTTTTTATCTATAATCCACCAACCTTCTTGATGTGGTTGTAAATATGGGATGCCCACTTTAAGTTTGTATCAATGGCAACTCCCAAATACTTCACGGAACCTACTCTAGCTATGGGATCTGTTTTCATGACCGAAAAGTCACATTATTAAACGGGTTGAGAGGTAAAAATGCATTTGGATTGCTTAAATAAGTTTAGGGACTTCAGAATGAACTGAATGCCATAGATTGCTGGAGAAATTTGGAATGTCCTCAGGCACGAAACGGCTTGGCAAGGGATAAGTTAATCGAATCCCGAGAAATAATATTTAAGACACAGTTGTATCACTCACTGTCCCTCACCATCGATTACGCTGATCGGGTTACCACACAGAAAGCCAATATGTTCACGTCCCCTGGTCAGATGTTTTATACTCAGTTTCCAAGTTTCAGTTCCACCTTCTGCCAACAACTACCTCAGTAAATAGTGCACGCCATGGCAATCTATTTGATAATATGAGTAACGAATACCTTGACCAACGTAATCCATAGAGGTCGGGCACTTGCTCCCGTCGGTAATACTCTGCTCCTAATCGCGGAAATACTTTTCTGGTTGCAGCGTGACATCGACAGTGATATTCAAACACCGATGATCTGTTTTCATCTTTCTTCCATAATGGCTAAATCCCGGCATCATATAGGAAAACCAGTAGGACGGCTGTAACATACACTCGACTCTTCAAAGACAACCGGATGTCGCAGTAACGTCATATGTCTCCAGTTGGCAAATGCCAAACTAGACTTCCGTTTGCTTGTCAACACTTCATCCGTGCTTCTTTCGCCAGGAAAGTCAGAAAGAAAGTGGACCTCTACCATCCTGTTATAACGTTTTACACCTCCAAGGGGCAAAACTCGTACCAGGTAACTGTACTAATAGTTCAATCGTCCAGAAAAGTTTTAAGTTTACTTGTATCTTCACTGAACAGTACAGTGCCTTTTGCGTACCCCGAATCGGACAGCCTATCACCTGGGAGAACATCGATGCCACTATCTTCCCAATCGGTGAAGGCGGCTTCTGGAATAATTTTCATTAAGTTAAAGTGAAAAGAATAAGGGAGACAACCAAGATAAAATAGAAACATGTATCATAGCTGTCATTTTTTTCCAGTTATCATCTTTCTTGTGAAATGCGTCGGACTGCAATCGATTGAGCAACATGAGTAGATGCTTTCAGATTCTATTGTGGACGCATCTCTGACTGGTTGCAATTTTATGTGAACATTATCTTATTCCAACAGCGCTTGTTTTATTGAAGTCAATCGAAAGGTAGGAGAATATGAAACTATAAATTATTCGAATTGGTTGCAGTTAAGAATTATCACACTGCCTGAAATTTGAAAGGAACCTCGGGGTTAAATTGTTCTGTTTAGTTGTTTCATTTATTTAATTGCTTTCATATCTAGTGCTTCTGGTTATGCAAATTCCGAGCCATCGGCAAATTTTAGCATGTTCGACTGTATTACTTAGGTTACTCGTTAGTAGTTAAGTTTTGGAAACGAGATCTCATCTGTTCCTTGTGAATGGCATTGTTTGTAATCAAAATCATTGCATGTACGACTGTACTGTTTCGCAATCAATCTTTTTCCAGCACTGGTATAGAGTACAAAGCGCGACTGATATGAGAAAATCATAGCCATCGGGTATATCATACCCACCCTCACCTTCAATAAATTCGGAGAAATGCAAATATCAAATTAGCGATGTGGATAGCTCATCATACGGAATACAGAAGTCTGGCCAACTCCGTAATTAATTTGTCTGCTTGCTAGTTAGTCTAGACAGGACACATTAGTGGTTACCGATACCAAGGGCTTTTTCACGAATCGTTTTCAGTGAATGCCAGGACGGAGGGATAAGTTAGAACACCTGTTTTTAATTTGACTTGAAAGCTGGGGGACGATGTTTCCTGGTGCTGACGATGTTTCCAGTAAGAACGGGATGGTTAAACTGATAGCCACCCTATCCCTCAAAAAGCAACCATCATCTTGAGCATTCTGAAAGCATTGAGGATCTGCAACATGGTATAGTAATCCACATCCAATAGCTGGGTCTACTACTTTGAGTGATGCTACTGCAAATTTTATACCATCCCGGCACTCTGGCGTATTAACTCGCTCATCCAAGGGATCTCCGAACATAAAACTCGGAAAAATACGAAGCGTTTTTATTTTTTGGTTTCTTGCAGACAGTGTGTCAAATAGTTCCCGCGGCAACTAAAAGGTAGGGATGACTATCACTATTGATGAAGCATTATTGTGAGATACTACTCACATTTGCGGGTCCACGCCGTTGTCCGGGGTGTCGCAACCCTGTGGTTAGGGCGTCCTTTGCGGCGGCCGACCCCATCTTCTCCGAACCTCTTCGCGACATCCAACACCGCCCGCGCCCGGCTCTTGAGAAGAGTTCGGAGGACCATCAACTTATAACGGGTCGTCCGTATCCCCGCCAGTTACGTGACGTCCTCGAACTCCTCCAGGAAAGTCCACTCGTGCCCGTCCTCGAAAGCTGCACCTTTATCTTGGAAACGGCACCGGTTGTTATAATTCCAGAAGACCAGTGCTGGTTTGAGGGGAGTTACCTGTTGAGGACCAGAGTTAGGGTATGGATAATTTGGTGTAAATATAACAAAATATCTCATTTGAAACATGTCACTGCGACTCCCGGCATCACAGTTTAATGAATGGAACAGGCCATAGTTATCAGTTTGAGCACAACAATTCGCTCTACGAAGTCTTGTTCATTTTTTATCATTGAAGGAAACCATCAACTTCATGGTTTTACACATTACTCAAAAATGTGAGTACTATCTCACAACTTTAATATTGATAAATACACA